CAGTCAAAATACCTTTATCAAAAACAACTTACGGAAAATAGCCAAAAGAAAACAGGAACGGAAAAACTTAAATAAGAAAAACTTCTGACCAAAGAATTTCTGATAAAAACTACCTCAAAAGAACAACCACGGAAAAATTCAAAATAATAAATCGTGTAACTCACTTGAGCCAGTCATTAAAAAACTGGCAAATGAATCGGAAAAACATCTCTCGACAGTTATCCTTCGCTTCGCAAATAACTATCAAAACTTTTAGATTCCCAAACAAAGCAAAATCCAAAATTTCCATCAACAGGCCGCACCTCATACAAATACTGATTGTAAATAAACACACACACACTTATCAACCAGCCAACTCGCATAAATCCCAACGCAACTATTCAATTCAAACTATTGAAAACACAAACTCGACTTTGAACAGTGCATCTGTCAAAAAATTGGTAGGCGGAAAAAATATCCCCGGAAAAAATAACCCACACACCCAAAACGTGTTAAAAACCACCCAATTTGATAGACCATAGGAAAATTAGAGTCCCTGAAAAAATAGACAACGAAAAAAATAATTAAATTAAAAAATAATTAAATTGAGCGAGTTTTAACACGTTTTGAATGTGTGGGATATTTTTTCCCTGGGATATTTTTTCCGGGATTCCAAAAAATTTGTAGCCAGATTTTTCCGGATAATTTTTTGAGATAGATTTTCCCGAACCAAGTTGCAATTATTGGGTGACACGTCTTTTCAATTAAGCGATATTTCAACAACGACATTAAATAAAGAAGTTATTTTGACTAAGTTCTTTGAAGTTTTGTGTGTTCCCGAAGGAATCAATTATCAAAGAAAAAATTGAATGAACGTTGTGAATTAAAATTGAATTCAAACGTACATAATTGCAAGCAGATTTTTCCGGATAATTTTTTGAGATAGATTTTCCCGAACCAAGATGCAATTATTGGGTGACACGTCTTTTCAATTAAGCAATATTTCAACAACGACATTAAATAAAGAAGTTATTTTGACTAAGTTCTTTGAAGTTTTGTGTGTTCCCGAAGGAATCAATTATCAAAGAAAAAATTGAATGAACGTTGTGAATTAAAATTGAATTCAAACGTCCATAATTGCAAGCTCAAATGACATTATGACTTAAATTTCCAGAAATTTCTAACGGTGTAGTAAAGAGAGTGCATGCGCGTCTAGAGGAAATACCACAATGAAGTTTTGAAGGAAAAATAGGGGGAAAAGTATAAAAATATTAAGTTGATGGTAATTTAAGTATGAAACTTACTCCGAGCTGACTTGGAAACATAGGTAAGGAGATCCCTGTAGTCTTTGGCACTGTTGGTCTCCTCATTGAAACTCTTGTGTACGGAGCTTTTATTGAGGGCAGTGAATACACCACCGAGAGCAAAATGACATCCTGAATTTCCCTTGCTACTTTCCATAGCGTGATTGTGATAAATCAGGGCAGCCGTTGTCCACCCAAAGCCCTGTAGTATTTGCCGGAGTACTTCACCAACTTGACGATGAGAGCCCATCATTCTCGTCAGTGTTTGATAATGCTCGACTTTGTGACGAAATGGATCCGCTTGGGCACCAGTTGTCAACACTGGTATACCCCAGACACCGGCGTATCTCGCTACTGGGGCTATCACGTAGTCACAGACAGGACCCAAAAAGGCGTCTGCATTTTCGACAAAAAACATTCACCAAAAAATACCTTAAAACGGTATTTTTTAAATCGGCCATTTTTTTATAGCCCCAGGGCATCCGTGGAATATTAACAATTTTTAGGTTTATGTACAATTCATAATTTATCAACTATTTTTGTTTCAAGTGAATCTCCCAGGCGCTGATTTCAAAATTGGGACTAGCTTCACGGATTTCATTTCACTTTAAGGCCCGTGTGGATCTATTGAATCTATCTCTCGAATGTCATCTTTTGTTTAAATTTTATTTTTTTAGCCTAAAATCCTTATTATGACAGTAGAAACACAAAAATAAAGTTCGCCCGACTCGAAATATCGCGAACCGCGTAAGGCTAATTCCTCATTGGTCAATTCGAACCGCCAAATTCAAATTCGGCGCACGGAGTGCGCAGTAGGTCCCGTCCATTAAAATCTGGGATCAAATTTGTGTTGCAGGAACTACTTGAATGGTTATAAAAAAATAATGAAAAAAAAGAGGAAAAATTATTAAAGAGCGCTAAAGAACGATATTGTTTAAAAGGGATCTACCAAGTTTACAAAAAAATAACTTAGTAACTTTCCGCAAATATCGGATAATTTTCGAGCGACTCGTGGTATTATAACCGATTCTTTCGTTGCCAGTAAGGAAATTATGGAAGAGTATATTTCCTTCTAGTTTATCAATTGCTTTCCACAAATCTCCACACAGATAATCTTAGACAGATTTTAATCACAAGAATCCGGAGAGTTTGAGATAGACATACACGGAGAGAAATATTTAGTAAAAATTACGGAACTTTCAGTTCACTTACCGATTACGAAGTTGATTCGAAAAGTTTAATTGACGGTATCGTTATTTTTCACTGATAATTCAGATAAAAATTACAGAACACCGCGGAAAAATTCTGTGACTTTAGATAAAAAT